GTTTCCATCCTTCTAGGTGGATTATGTGTTCACAGACAAAACCGGCACCCTGACAGAAAACGAGATGCAGTTTCGGGAGTGCTCCATTAATGGCATGAAGTACCAAGAAGTCAATGGCAGACTTGTACCTGAAGGACCCACTCCAGACTCTCCAGATGGGAGTTTATCTTACCTCAACAGCTTACCCCATCTCAACAGCGTGTCCCATCTCACAAGCAGTTCATCTTTCGGAACCAGCCCTGACAGTGAAACGGAACTAGTAAGCACTTTTTATACTAATCAAGAAGGGTTTCACCTGAGGTCATTCTCGTTGGGAGTGGACAAGCTGGTGTCGGCGGAGCAGGGAATATATACTTGAAATGTATTTCTTTGATTCAGCACTGTAAATTGTAATCATGAGGATTTGTAGTTACAGCCTAGTTTAACTTGTCTCTTAATACATGTGTGGCCTGGCTCTCTGGGTATTTAAATGGATTTACCCGAGTGAAGAGAAGCCCTTACCTCCTTGAAGGAAAGCAGATTTTTCCTTGAGGAATAGAGCTTACAACTATTTAATACTGTTTAAAACCTCACTTTTCCCACAAAGGAGTGTTTACTTTACTTGCAAACTGGCTGTACCTTCCAGCCGTTTGTGTCGAAGCGTCCTTAGCAAGGACGACACTTCATGTGGGAGTCAGCTCTTACTCAGAGTCCAGGTCGTAGCACACTTGTCCTAGAGCTTAGAGCTCTGTGTCTGCTTTCCTGACGGGCACTCGGGATCCATCCAGTTACCACGAATACTGCCTATCTTTCCACAGATTAAAGAGCATGACCTCTTCTTTAAGGCAGTCAGTCTCTGTCACACGGTCCAGATCAGCAGTGCTCAGCCCGACGGTGTTGGTGACGGGCCCTGGCAGTCCAGCCTGGCCCCCCCACAGCTGGAGTACTACGCGTCCTCGCCCGACGAGAAGGCTCTGGTCGAAGCTGCCGCCAGGTAACCTAGGCTGGTTTCCAGATCTCTGGGGCAGAGACAGACGCACACACACGCTTTTCAAATAGGTGTTAGTATGGGAGAGAACCATTATTCAAGGTTTTTAAACATAAATTCATAAAGTTGTCAAAATTAGCATAAACACATATAGGTAAAAGCACACTTTTCAGTTAAATTTAAATTATAATTTGAAATGCATAATTATGTCATGAAGCTTACAACAAAGTTTTTTTG